GACCAAGGAAGAGCAGGAGGATTATGTTTTCAATACTAAGGATGAAGGGATGAAGAGGTTGGACTTCAGGTTTTCCCACTGATGAGAAGGCGTATGGATTGATGTTGTGGATCCACTCTACCAAACGAAAAGTAATCGCGTACGGAAATAATGGAACAGATATCGAATGAATTAGAAGTACACGTTACTCCTACGTATCTTTCATTTAATTGTTCCATGCTTTAGTCGGCTACAGAGTCTGTTTGCAACTGTCAGTCTTCTCTAGTTCGGTCTTCTCTGGTATACAGTACATTCAATACTGTCTTATGTGCTAGTGTGAAGACAAGGCTGGAGACTACTTGTACTTCTTGCTCGGGTCACGACCGTACACAACTTGCTTTCCACGGTTTTATTCGTTCGTGAGGGCCTTAGCATCAGACGCAGTATTTGATGTACAACGTGGGCCTGAAGGATTATATTCCGTACTTGACGCTGTACCTGGGGTATGGCTTTGCTTTGAAGAGTACAATAGAGCTCAAGTATGGTAGAAATGACTTCCTTGTCTCCCCTGAAAGCGACATTCCAACTCCTCAACTCGTCTGTGCAGATGACACGCACTTCTCATCTCCCCCCGTCTATCTTCGTATGCGGAGTACCATGTCGCCACACCTCTAAGGGCACCTTTGGCAATGTGAAGGCGTTTCTCTTGAGCCCTTATGCGGTAGTGTCTCAACTCAAAGGCCTCTTGTGCCGACGGCCACAGCTCTGGGTGGATTTCGCGGTTCTACCGTCGTTCAGCGAGCCACTTATCTGCCTCTGCCCAGACCTGCTTTGTCGCGTCTGGCACAGTAGAGTTATTCGCGGACTTGACACCGGCTGATATGGCGTCCCATAATGAGAATGCGGACTTGAGATCGCCGGCGAGATTGAGTGATTGCGGGAAGTAGCGTTCTGATGCGGTTTGAATAACACGTGACTTGGTTGTCGGGGAGGTCGGATCGGCATCGCCAGTGAGAAGCTCATCGAGGTACGACTTGGCTGCTATGCTAAGCGCACAATTGTTAGGGAGAAGGAAAGGAAGTCTAAGGAGCGTCAGTTTATCAGACTTGGGTTACTGTGATTCGGGACAACTAACTTCATCGCGATGACTGATATATCAGCATGTCTAGTGCAGCAGCCAGTACAGAACATCTGTGTGGCGGCCACCTCGATAATATCTCGAAGTGACTGACGGACTTTGTTGATGATGGAGTTGTAACCGAGCAAATGTTGACTGAGAGGTCCGGTGAAGCCAATCGGTCGGTGGTGCAGAGTACCTAAGCCAGCAACACGAGACACTAGCATATTGTACTCCTTGTCGTTCGCTAGGCGGCTGTCAGCTATGCAGGACTTTGTCAAGGGCTTCCCACTTACTGCTGCCACGCATCGGTGCGCCGTTGTACATAGAGAACATATCGATGTCGGAGTTCAAGAGGCCCAGCCGTATCAGCTCGACCGCGATCACCGCAGCTTCTTCGTGCTCTGGCTTACCCTTTAGACCAGCGATGATAGAGACAAGGACTTTACCCCATTGTGTCAGGTTATGGCTCTTGGGGTCAATGTACTCCCGTAGAGCGAGGAAGCGCCATATCGAGTTGTACAGTATCTCGGAAGTGGAGGAAAGGGGATTCTTAGGATCTTTCTTAGCGACCGATTTGGTGACGAAGTCGGAGTTTTGCAGTGATAAGATGGCTGCACCGAGAGTTCCACAGTCCTGTCAGAGTGTTAGTACTGGTCTGTCAATGCGGATGCGGCTTTGCTGACCTTGTACTGTCCGACGACATCCTTGAATGTAGCTTCCTTCACGTTCCAGGTGTCAACGAGCGAAGGAGCTATGGCTTCTGATGGCTTCTCGACAGGGATCGTTGTGGATGCGCGTTTCCCATTGGGTTCTACGGGAGAATACCAATGCGTCTGGTGCAGAGATTGGTGCCGATACCAATTATGTAATGTACTGGACAAAAGGTTGACAGCGGGTGTTCGAAGTGGAATCAGCTTGGAGCTGACAAGGTCCCTGTATTCTGGAGACAGGCCACCATCCATGGGAGGGACTTCGAATACCTCGCAGGTAGTGCGCCATTGGATGATGTGCGGGCTGATGAGACCTTTCGACATGTAGTGGAGTATCTCGTCTGGAAGCCTTTGACCCAGATACTGACCCGCATCGTTAGGCATCGAGGCAGAGTTTTGGGGCTCGACCTTCCCTTCCTCTGTGTAGACAGGGTGATTCTTGACGGCCAGACGTGCTTTCTGGTATCGCGTGACGTATTCCTTGCCCGCGGGCGGGACATCATTATTGTTGACAACCACAGAGTATCCAGACTGACCGTTGTTCATGATAGTCTTAATAGCGCTGTACGGCTTGATCAGCTCTGCCCTGTTAGGCGCGTCGAGGATCGGGTGGGTCGGGAGGAAGGGCGTGCCGGCGAGTATGCAGGTGTCGAGAAAGATATCATCTGAGATGTTGGGGGCGTTGACAAACTTCGAAAGGTCGGCTACACATTTCTCTCGCCGGACGAAGCTGAAATGTCGGGCCTCGAAGTCCCAAGATGTTATGATTTTGGAGCATTCGAAGATGAGGATATCTGACGAGCCGTAGACGGCGTGGACGTATTCGTGTTTCTCGAGATATGCCAGCTGTCCATAATTAGCCACTGCGAACAGAGATTACGGATATGCTTGCCTGGGCCCAGGCGCTGTATGGCGCGACTGTCCAACGAATGTTGCGCTCGGTCAGGGTTGACTGTAGGGCGCGGAAAAGATCCTCAGGCGTGACGTATGCTGAGAAGAGTCAGCACGATACACAGTCGCATCTTGACGGTGGCCATACTTGACTGTCCGAACTTAGCGACAGAGGCTTCCGCCTCGTGACTGTCGTACAGAGTCCACGCATTGATGTTTACCGATGCCTCGGTCTCCTTTTGCCTGAAAGGATCATCGTGTTTTGTAATATCCAGCCCGCTGAAGACGAAGACGGGTTCGATGTCGAAGCTGCGGAATTGGGCCAGATCGTCCTCAATGTGTTGTGTCAAGGCCAGCGGAAGGCCTCCCAGCGCAGGCACAAGCGGCTCCTTTGCGCGCGGGTGATTGAGGATCCGCTGGTTCAGATATTCGGCGGCTTCGATGCCTACGCGGCAATTGCGCAATTGTTCGAGCTCGCCCGTTTCGCCCAGTGTGGCCGTCCATTGTACGAAGTCGCGGATCATGGTGCCAGTCGCGTGGTGGGGCTGTTGTGAAAGTAATGGAATGAGGGATTGATAATGAACGGAGACGATGGCAGTAAAGTCTCGAGTAATACTAAGAGATTCGCCTGGCGTGATTACTGTATGTAGCGACGACGTGTGGTAAAGTTGTAGAGGGTTGCGGGGGTGTGGACAGTAAATTGGAAGCTCCGATGCAGCTCCACGCCTTGGCAACCACACGATCCCTGATCAGCCGGGCGCTAGTTCAGGTACAGCGTTTAGGCGTACGAGGGAACGCAATTGCGCCGACTAGAGGGATGAATGACGGGTAGGTGCAGACTTGATGTGATTTGCTTCCGTAAACACACCCCAATACGAACGTGGCTTCTCTCTTGCTTTCTTAGTGCCTAATCGCGTCTCACGTCTCACCTCTGCCCCTCACCTAGCGTTGCTCCAGGCTTTCACGAGTCACATCTCAATCTCTCCAAATGGCTAGTTCAGGACAGCACTCAGAAGCCATACCGGTTATCGATATTTCAGCCCCTTCCGAAAACATCGCTCGGCAGGTGCTGGACGCGGCTTCCACACATGGCTTCCTCTACATCAAGAACGATGGTGTGACCATCCCACCCCAGGATATCGATGACATGTTCAAGTTGGTATGATGCAACGATTGCCCGAAACTAAACCTGTTGATTGATGAAAACAGTCTAAGGAGTTTTTTGCCGCCCCCAAAGAGCAGAAATCTGAATACGCAATCCACTCTGAGAGAGCAGGGGGCATAAACCGCGGCTGGGTTCAGATGCAAGGCGAATCTCTTGATCCTGAAGGTCAAAAGGTAATCGCCAACAGAACAAATGATAGAACTGCCTGTTGACGAAATGGATAATAGCAAGGTGATCCAAAGGAAGCCTTCAACATCGGGCCACCAAACCCATCCCTCCAGCCCCTCCCTTCACCTCTCCAAGAATCATCCGGTCTGATTTCTCGCTTCCAACACTCCTGCCACACCCTATGCACCCAGATTCTCTCTCTCCTCAACACCGCTCTCCAAATTCCCGACCCCAAGTACTTCAGCACACGACACGACCAGTCTCTCGGCCCCTCTGGCACCATCTTCCGCATGCTCTACTACCCATCTACCATATCCCAAGGAAAAGACTCCAAGCAAGGCGAAACCAGTATTCGTGCAGGAGCACATTCAGACTACGGTAGTCTAACGCTCCTGTTCCGTTTGCCAGGCCAGCCCGGCCTTGAACTGTCTACGCCTTCGGGGTGGAAAGCAGTACCTGTGAGCCCATCGCCATCGTCGTCGCCTCCAATCTTGGTCAACATAGGAGATTTACTGTGTTATTGGACAAATGGGATGCTGAAATCGACAGTCCACCGTGTTACATTTGAGGGCGGGCAGGAGCGATATAGTATGGCGTACTTCTGTCACCCTCTAGATGAAGCAAGGTTGGACGCCGTACCCAGTCCCGTGATCGAGCAGTTTGGCAACAAGGGCGAGGAAGAGTTGAAGAGTCAGAGGAAGAGATTGGGGTTGAGAGAAGATGGGCTCGGAGAGGAAGTAATAACAGCCAAAGGGCATTTGGAGAGGAGATTGAAGGTGACATATGGGATATGATGAAATCAGATTCAATTGACAAAAGGTATTACTCTCAAACGCCTGCGCTATGCTCCATTGTTACTTCAAAGAACACCTCGCTATGCTTTGCGCCATCCCATGCAGACAAACCCAAGATAACTTCCTCGCACATACACCACTTACATTATGACTGTACAGGACGAGGGTCTTCTTCACCCTCGCCTCTTCCTACCCGACCTTCCCGTGGTATTTCCTCCAACGTCCTTTACGACGCCAATTCCTTCAACTGCCACGCTCTTCTCCTGCATAGTCCCACCCAACTTCTTGATCATCTGCTCCCTCGCTTTCGCAGCACCAGGAGAATCCCAACCTAGCTCCTGACTAGGCTGGTATTCCTCCACCAGCACCGTGTTCTCCTCTTCTTCCTCTTCTCCAGCCAGTATATTCCCGGAGCTATCGCCAGCTGACGCGTTTGACCGCGTGGACGCTGCGCGACCAAGCTGCCGCCGTTTCCGCGTCTTGCCAGGTACCTGATCAACGGACGTTGGCACGGTCTTGCGGTTTGCGCGCATCTGAGCTAAGATGGAAGAGTAATCTTTTTCTTCTTCCGGCCCTTTTGCCTTTATCGTTTCCTTTTCTTTTGGTGCTTCCTGTGGTACCGGTTCGGTATCTGCCGGAATCACGGAGTCGGGTTCAGGAACAGGAACAGCCGGATCTGGGTTTTGACCAGCCTTGGACTTGCGGGGTGCCGGGGCTATGAGAGACTCGGCCGATGAACTCCTGGGTCGTGAGAACGATTTTGAGGCGTGCGGGGACGTTGATGGGCGGCGCGAGGAGTTGGCGCTGGTTTCTTGGAGGGGGTGGGAACCTGCGCCATCCAATCCAGGTATAACAGACTCATCGTCATCGTAGTTTAGGCCGTTAGTATCATTGTTGGAAGTATCCGCCTCATCTGTAGTCGATGCAGGTGTTGCATCTGCTGATGCAGTGAGAGCAAGAGCACCACGCTGCTGTGGGTGCAGAGGCCTTTTCGCGGCATTGGTAGGCAGTTGCTTTTTCTGACGAAGCTCAAGGCTCTCCTCCGTCGACAACAGTGCAGTGGGCACATCATCCTGTGGCTGAGGTCTCTGTTTAGGCTTCTGTGGCTGAGGCGGCGCTGGCTTGTTCAATTGATACTCGGCATACGACTGTAGCCGACCACTACGCAGACATTCCCAAAGCCATGTGGCATGAACAGCGGGTATCCGTTTGTCCGTCGCGAATTTGAGTTTCGGTGTGTTTACGGTAGGAGGGTTGCAGATCACAACCGAGGTCTTTGCCGATAGCTGTTCATCGTACGAGGCACCTGTCAAAATTGTCAGACGATTTCAATGGCAGCGGAGCTGATCCCGTACCCATAAGCGTGACAACTTTGGTCACATGCAGTAACTCGATGCCGGAAAAGCCCGTAGAGTTGATGGTGAGTCCAGAGAACCCTGGCTACGTCAGCGACCAATAAAACAACCGTGGGGCACAAGCTTACCACTTATACTAAGCTTTTCGAATGGTCGACTTAACACATCGTCCGATGGATCTACTAGACGTTTGCCATACAAGCAGCGCTCGACCCACCAGTTAGTGACCAGGTTCATGTGTGATCCGGCACGCCCCGGAAGTGCCGCCGAATCGACCTCGACGTCATGTGGTATTACGAAGTAGCCTCGTCTTAGATCGTCGGATGGCGCATTGTTGAGATCGGTCGCATGGATTACGTGCGCGCCGTTGCTCTCGAGGTGTTGGCGCAAAATGCTTGTCTAGCGGGAACGTCAGCTAGGGCTGAAATGTAAGGTGATCTGACAAACCTTCTCTGCATCAAAGCCATGCGTGCATACGAGTCGTCCTTGAAAGATGCCATCATGTTGAGACACGTCGTTCGTATGTGGTGGCAATGATGGTTCATGACTGTCTGCATCGTCATCAAGGTGCGCCTCGATAAGCGTATCATTCTCATGGACGAATGCATGTCTGTGAGGGGATGCTGGGGTATGTGTGCGAGTGCTTGTCCGCGTACTATCTGGCTTAGTAACAATCTCCTCTGTCCATTCATCCTCATCGATCGGTCGTTCGAAACTGGGCGCTGTGATGCCCGCCCAAAAGGCATCGCTTTGGCTGCCCACCTTGGTGCTTGCTGAGCGACGTAGCTTCCTGCGGAAAGGATTCAGGGCCTGGCTCGGCTCTGCATCTCGCGTGCGCTTGCCTATGGCAGGCGACGCAGGCATCTTGCGATCCCAAGCACCTTGGCCGCGCTCTTCGACAGGCATGGTGGGGTTGTAGAGGGCTTCGTCCAGCACCATGCCTCTCTCCAGACTCTGTTCGAGCCACTCCAGCGACACAATCTTCATCCTCCAATTCAGGGCGTGTTCGTACTTCTTGCCCGATGGCGCCGCTGCGATGAGGTGGGTGACGGACTTGGTGAGGTCACCGTGGTACTCGGCTCCGTTGGCGTCCACCGACTCCTGAATGGTCTTGCGTTGCTCAGCTGTGATGGTCAGTATGGCCGTATGCACTTGGAACTTGCGACGTACGGTTGTCGAAGCCGGTAAGGCATATTTTCAGCCCAGCGAGGGTCGGCATGCGGTACTCCTTTTCCAGCGCGGCCATGTCCAGGTCGTCATCGCCAGTCATCCACACCTCCCTCAAGGCTTCGAGCCATTCCGGGGAGAGGACCTTGACGTCCTCGCGAGACTTGGCGACATAGCGGTATTTGGCGCTGTCGGTGCTGCCGACGATGAGGTGGGTTACGTCTGATGTGAGGTCGAGCTTGATGGTCGCGCCCATCTGCGCGCCAATGGCGGCGAGTTTGGCCTGTACGATCGTTAGAGACAGCAAGACATTAGCATATGGAGTAGACGTACGCGCTGCTCGGGGGCAATAGAGGTGCAGCAGAGGATGGCCCCAGCCAGAGGCAATTGGCCTGCTCCTGCATCATGTGAGTATATTCATTACAACCACAGGTATCATCTGCACCCACCATAGCCTCCATCATGCGCATCCATTACTTGCAAAGTCGCGGTGTCGTGTGCTTACGCCGAGCGAAAGCGCGTCTGAGCTAAGCCCTGCCCTTCGCCAGACGCGTTGCGGGGAAGCCAGCGTGGTCACGTGGTGCCGCCTCACGCTCGCCATTCCTTCCGCACTGCCCGCCCTGCCGTGTCCGCTCCTCAACCCTCCCCCAGATGCGCCGAAGCTCGCACATGCCACGAAAAAAAAAAGCTTTCCACCCCACTGCCGAGGATCCACCGCAGCAAGCATGACGACTGCTTCGTTCCTGGCCTCGAACTTGAGGGCGGCTGAGTTGGCAGCCCGCCCTGTTCTTTGCGCCGATCTGCCCACTCACGTTTGCTGTAACTCCAGATTCAGAACCCCAGGCGCTGATCACTACGCGATTGGGCTGTCAGGTTTCTTTTCGGCGATCGTGGGAGGTGACGCCCTGTTTATGTGATTGTCCTGATGCACCATGGCACAAGATGCCCGGGCATGATCTATCATCTGTTCGATAGTCCCAAATCAAGGAAGACGAACTCTCCGCCCATGCGCTGGCGGAGCATCGCTTGGTCTGTCTCGAGATTGCGCGTTGCTCGTGCCCAGCGTGGCTCTGCCCTCTTGGAGTCTAAGCGATGCCATATCCTGTCATCTATAATAGTTGTAATCAGCGTGCCTGTCGGGGCTTTGCCATCCGTGCGTGCTGAGTGGCAGGATGAAGCATGCCTTGTCGTCGTCGATCAAGGTAACGTGCCGGGTATGCCGTAGTCGGTCGCTATCCGCCAACGGGTCTAGAAGCAGCCCTAGCAGATGCCCATTGAGATCTGACCCCTGCATCGAGTCTGGCAAACTCTTGGTGCTCAGCATGATGTAATGCATCCGAGCCTCCGTCCGCGCAAGCTACTGCTGCGCTGCCATGCCGCTCCTAGTAACGCCTAGCAGCTCATATACCCGCTGCGGGAATATCCTGCCCTGATGCGCTGCTTGCACGCCCTCACGACCATTCCTTACCCCATCCGGGTACCCACTGATATACCTCTGCTAGAGCAGTAGCAGCCCATCTCAAATTCATCATCCTAGCTGCTGCGACCCCGCCGACCAGCAGCGCTGCACACCGTCCAGCGTCCGCGTCATCCGTCTGTTCCCTGCAAACTCGACGCTCGACGCTTGACGCTCGACGCCGGTACACTTTCGCCGTCCCTGCACTGCCCTAGTCTGACATGCTCGCGTCCTCGTAACATGCTTGCTCGCTGGCTAGCTGCAACTCACTTCAAAACACCCGCGAGTCCCTGTTATTCGCCGTTGTTGTCCTGGCAAGAAACTCCTCTCCGTCGCCAGCGCAAACCCTCGCTCCAGGGTATTCCCGCACGCTTCCGACGCACCGGCGACTTCACCGCTCCACTACCCTACAGTGGCCTGTCGTGCTGATCGCATTTACACATCATTAACTAGGTAGCCTCACCCACGCCTTTGGATCCCCTGTCTCTGCTCGTGAGTCCTTGTCTCATCTCCCCCTTCACCGCGTTCGGGCCCTTTGTCCTAGTAGCGCCCAACCTCAACGTCCCTTCCCAAAGCATCCATATGGAACCTGCTTGGGTTACCTTGGTCAAGAAGCCTTTGTACCCCTCTCATGACTCTGAGGTGTTGCACAAGCCAAATTCTTCTCTACTTCCTGAATTATACCTCGTATAAGACACAACACGCCGCATGCCTTGTCGCCACACCTTGATCCTGTCCTCCACCTCCACTTCAAGTCACTAACGCATCGTCGCTATGCCAGAGTACCACACCGTCTACTCTGAACGTGGCCGATTAAGATATCTACCCGACCACTTAGACACCCCCAAGAAAGCCTATCGCGGCATCTTTGCTGGCCGCAATCGCAGACCGCACCGCATTCACATCGCACACGTCGGTCCTGATCCGACTTTATTTCGCACCCAGAGGCGCCAGACGACTAGTCAGTCGTACTTCACAGAAAAGCTGGCGGCCCCACGCGACGGCGCTAAACGTTTCCTACGGTCGTTTATCGACACCCACTTTTCCTCCAAGCCCGAAACTACAGACATACCTACCCCTCAATCGTCGACGACTCCCACTAGCAGCAACCGCAACTCGGTTGCCTCTGTTCCAGAACCACGGACCGCCGACATGCGGTCGCTCACGAGGAATTCTGGCAGCGGTGCAGTAGGCGCAATTGGAGGCACATTGGCTGCAGCAGGCATGCCGAGACCATCCGTCGCCGAGTCACATTGGTCTTCCGGCCGTGCCTCTGCAAAGAGCATAATCTCCAATGTCAAGAGCCTACCAGAAGAGAAGCCAGTGGCGTCAGGTGGCGGCGTCAGTGTGAACGTGCAACTCACAGAGCCGGTTCTGTTCCTACGGGGCTTCGAGCAAGCTGAACACGCGGAGCGGAGCACAGCTATGCTGCGTGGAACACTATGCCTAAAGATTTCGAAACCCGCAAAATTGAAGGCTGTGACCCTCAAGTTCAGAGGGAGAGCGACGACCAAGTGGCCAGAAGGTACGTTCGTTGATCGTTTTCCTATTCTAAACTAACGTTTATCAGGCATTCCTCCAAAGAAGGTTGAATTTGAAGAGGTGGATACTCTGATGAGCCACACATGGCCCTTCTTCAACTCTCAGTTCCCCACTGCCGAGAACGGCACTGGTGCAGATCACGTGGAACTCTACAAAGGCTCCAACGGATTGACTGGATCGCCAAACAACTCTTCGCTGAATCTAACGACAAAAGAGGCCAAACGACTATCGCTACAAGTCAACCAATCGCGAAGCTTCGGTAAGGGCGACACCCCTGGAGGCGGTCCCTCGGTAGCACAGAAGGGTTACAGGACCTTCAACCCCGGAGAGTACATGTACAACTTCGAGCTACCTTTGGATAGCCACCTTCCCGAAACCATCGATGTCGACCTTGGTTCCGTCAAGTACGAGCTGGAAGCGACTGTTGAACGCGCTGGCGCCTTCCGCACAAACCTCATCGGAACAAAGGAAGTTACCCTGATCCGCGCGCCATCAGAGGGGTCACTAGAGCAGGTCGAGCCTATTGCGATCAGCCGCAGCTGGGAGGATCAATTACACTACGACATCGTCATCTCCGGCAAATCCTTCCCACTCGGCGCTCAGGTTCCTATCGCTTTCAAGCTGACCCCACTGGCGAAAGTGCAATGTCATCGTATCAAGGTGTTTGTCACGGAGAATGTCGAGTACTTCTGTAACAACAAGCGAGTGCATCGAATGGAGCCTGTCCGTAAGGTTCAGCTGTTCGAGAAACGCGCGGATGGCCCACCGACCAGTACATTCCCTGGCAGTACGATGCGGATAGTGTCTGGAGGGGGTGTCCCGTATGACCAGCGGGCAGCCGCTTCTCGAGGCGAGGATGTACAGGTGCAAGACCCCACCAACCTCCTGGGTGATCTTGGAGGAGACGCAAACATTGGGCCCACTGAGATGGAGTTCAATGTGCAACTGCCAAGCTGTCACAACCTCAAAGAGAAGGACAAGTCATCCAAACTGCACTTCGACACTACGTACCAGAACATACAAGTGCACCACTGGATCAAGGTACGTTTAATCTTAGGTTTCATCGTCGTACACACTAACAGTCGACTAGCTTGTCATGCGCCTCTCGAAACCGGACGCTACGGACCCGACCAAAAGAAGGCATTTCGAGATCTCGATCGATTCGCCCTTCCATATCCTTTCGTGTCAAGCTACGCAAGCCAACACAGCACTTCCAGCATACTCGTCGCCCGAACCTGCCCTGAGCGGCACACGGGTACCTGAGTGCGGATGCCCCAATGCACCATCCCGGCGCAACTCACCAACCAGCTTCGTACCTACATTGAGCTCTTTGGGTCGCTCGAGAGGGAACTCGGACGCCGTACTACCAACACCATCGCCAAATCTCACCCGCCCACAAGCAGCACACATCGGCGGGCCGAATGACTCTACGGTACAAAGACCCATTCACCTAATGCGCGTACCGTCTTTCAACCCACCCGCATTTTCGGAAATAGAACCACCGCCTCCTCTGGAAACCCCACCTCCTCTATACGAAAGCATCGCATCGCCCACGAGTGGTTTAGCCGACTACTTCTCCCGCTTGTCTGATGCATACGACGATTCTGACAGCGACCCCGAGCGCAACGACCGAGCGCGCGTCGAGATCCCCCTGACGCCAGGAGGTCGCACCGCCAGGAGTATGGATGAGCGCCGGACCTGGCTACCTGTCGGCCATTGAGCTCACCATACTCCCATGACGTCATGTGTTACGTTCTCTTTCAAGTTCATGCATATACATTTTACTTACATTTACGACGTTTCTCTTTTCGCTTTTAGGCGGTCTGTGCATTCATTGTCTGGGAGATATAGGGAATTCCCCCGGTACCACGGTGCATTCGGAAAATTCTGCAGCGCATTTTCGTTACTGTCGCATTGCTCGCTCTCGGGCTGTTTCGCGTGTTTGGGTCAAGGGTTCGCTGGGATGTTCCTTCGCTGGACCAGGCGCTTTGTTGTTTCATGGGCACAAGCTTCATGTTAGATGGGTGGCCCTTAGGTCCCCAACTTCGCGCTTTCACATTTCCCGTAATCATCATATCTAGTCGACCATATCGGTTGTAAATATCACGACGTACATATTGCTCATATTCATGACCATTTGCAATGTTTGTTCGTCTGACCTTGACTGTCGCGTGCAAGGAGTATTGAAGAAAATCAATTCTGACTAACTATCTCGAAGTGCTGCCTCAACTGATGTATTGTTACATGCGTCTGTCAGAGTGATGTACAGCGCAAAAGGCAGAGCCAGGTCGCATGTCCCAAACATGGAATTACGCCAACATACAAAATCTATTTTCGTCCTCTTCGAAACTAATTTCACACCTTGCTTCAGCATCCTTCATGACCATTCATTGATACACAACAACCAACTCACACGTCACGAACATCCATCTTTCACCCGTCATCCAACCGTGTTCCCCGTGCTAAGCGCCCGCGC